GATATTTCCTTTCTACCTTTTCTGATCTTTCCATTTTTTTCTTGTTAAATAATATGAGATATAACACCAAAAAAAAAAAAAAAGGAATATAGTTGTGGTTCTAAAAGGAAAAAAACATGCAGTGTTGGGATTAAAATGAGCAGAAAAGAAGGGGGAAACAGAGAACTAATAAAATATCAATATTCTTTGATTCCAACGTTGAATTCATTCTCTTTAAAATTGTTGCCAAATCGAGAGTATATGGAAAGATATTGCTTATCTTCTCATTTTTACAGGGTAAAAAAACTTTACAGATAACACACTCAGTTCCTGTTGTTGAATTCATTTATGAATTAATCTTCGTTAAGATGTTTTTTTCAAATTTGTTTGTCAAGTTTATATGGCTATTTCACACAAAGTGACTCTTGGTGGGATACAATTAAAGCAATAATAAAAATTAAAACATTGAGGTATGAATGCTAAGAAAGCAAGAGAAAGTACATCAAGATGCTACCAACCATGCAACCAGCACACGGGGCCCTGTTACCAGGAGATCCCCAGGACCGTTGAAAGAATCACATTTCAAGGAATTTCTAGAAGTCCTAATAGTTAGGAGACTCTCTCAATTTCAGGATAGTCAATGGTTTTTGTTTTGTGAAGGGGCTGTACAACCTGTCCAGAAATAGTCAGTGTTGCAACCATTCTCAAGTGGTTCACCATGGACCCAACCATCTTAGACAACTTTTATCTTCTGTCCAGTATTTTTGGAGCAGTATATTGAGAGCATGGTTGGTGGGTCAATCATCAATAATTGAATTTCAATATTTTTGGGATAAACATATGTCCATCATCTGAATTTGTTTTGAAAAAAATGAAATAAAATATTAAATAAGAAAACAAAAAACTCAAAGGGCAGACTCTATGCAGCACTAGGTCTTTTTTTGCCATCAGTTTTCTGTTTCTATCTTTTTATCCCATACTCATAGGGTTGCTCTTGAAAACCAGCTGGAATTTATAAAATGGTCCAGAATGCAAAGGCATGCACAGTGTTGAGTTTCCATGTGTTCTTCCATAGGACAGGCTCTACAGAATCCCAGTTTCTTTCCAGGTGCAATTAAATTTACCTTTCAAACCCTCCATGAGACAGAACCAGGATATCTGCAGGGTTTCCTCTCCTTAAGGATAACTCCTTGTCCCACCAGAGCAGATTGGCATGCAAATATTCCCTAAAAGATTCCCACTTTATGGATCATTAGAAGCCTGCCTTTTCTGCTGCAGTTCCTGCCCTATTGGACTTACTCCCCCTTGAAATTGAATAGGCCCCCATCCTCTTAAACTTCTGGAGAATTGCTACTTCTGCCAACCATTTGGGATAAGGTAAGGTCAGTGCAGGATAAGAATCTGGTGGATTACCTCAGAGAAGGGAGTTTTCAGCACCATATAGCTCTTCTTTTAATTTTATGCTGTTGTTGTTCTTTTTATAGTTGTGTGTATTGGGGATTTTTTGTTGTTGTAGTGTAAGTATATTCCATTTACTGAGACTTTTCTGTCTCTCTGTATCACATCTTATCCAAACTTTTTCTTGAAATTTGAAAGACTATAAAAGAAATATTACTTTCTTTTCTCAGATACCACAAAATGCACCAAGTGCCCAGATGATCAATATCCAACTGAGAACCGAGTCCAGTGTATCCCCAAAAGAATAAACTTCCTGTCTTATGAAGAACATCTCAGCATCATCCTCATCTCCTTTGCTCTACTCTTGTTCCTAATCACAGGCTTTGTTTTAGTCATATTCATTAAATACCTTGAAACTCCTATTGTCAAAGCCAATAACCGGGACCTCTCCTTCATCCTCCTGGTCTCCCTTCTGCTTTGCTTCTTATCCTCCTTGTTTTTCATTGGCCGACCAAGGAAAGCCACCTGCCTTCTCCGACAAATGGTGTTCAGCATTGTCTTCTCAGTAGCCGTGTCTTCTGTGTTGGCCAAAACGATCACAGTAGTGCTGGCATTCCTAGCCTCAAAACCAGGCAATAAAGTGAAAAGATGGTTGGGGAAGAGCTTGGCCAACTCCATCATCCTTTCTTGTTCTGCTGCCCAAATTTTCATTTGTGCCATGTGGTTGGGAGTTTCTCCCCCATTTTCTGACTCTGATCTGCACTCCCAGCCTGAAGAGATTATCCTTCAATGTAATGAAGGCTCTGTTGCCATGTTTTATGTTGTTCTTGGCTACATGGGCTTCCTTGCTGCAATTTGCTTCACTGTGGCTTTCCTGGCCAGGAACCTGCCTGGAGCTTTCAATGAAGCCAAGCTGATCACCTTTAGCATGCTGGTCTTCTGCAGTGTCTGGGTTTCCTTCCTCCCCACCTACCTGAGCACTAAAGGCAAATATATGGTGGCCGTGCAGGTCTTCTCCATCTTGGCCTCTGGTGCTGGACTATTGAGCTGCATCTTCTTTCCCAAGTGCTACATTATCATCCTGAGACCAGATCTGAACACTAAGGAACATGTAATGACAAAAGTACGGGAATAATTGTGAAATTGTTTCTTAGGCTGGTAACATCTAGTTAGCCATTATTATTGGTTATAATTGGTTATAATTGGTTGTAATAATCACAACTGCTATATCTTCTTCTCTATCTTCAGGAACATTTTGAAATCTTAAATAGTGTTCCGCTTTCTCCATTTCTAAAACTGGCACTGTTTTTTCTAAATTTTGATTTGCTTGTTCTAATTTTTCAATTTCTTACATTAGTACTTCCATTTTAATTAATATCATCTGATTTATTTTCTATTTTCTAAATTCTTTGTTCATTTTTAACAATCATTTGCTGATGGGCTTTAAATTGTGTCTTTATATCCAACATTTGTTTGTTTAATTTATCAAAATTACTTTTTGTCTCTTCATGGTTTCTCTGTATTGATTCTTAAATTAATTTTAATGTGGTTTGCATCTCAGTTTGAGCAGTGCTTATTTTCTCATGCTGCAACATTGTTTCAATAGATCACTGGCTTGTTGGGCTAGAAATGTTCTGACAAAAGGTGCAGAGGAAGTTTTTTTTCATAAGTCTAGTGAGATTTGATGCACTCATTTTTCAAGCCAACTATCTTAGGCTAAAATCCAAACCGTGAAAAGAGCCAATTACTTTAGGCTAGATCCAAATTCTCAAGGAGAAAAAACAAGAGAAAAAAAGAGAAAAAAAGAAGAAAAAGCCAACTGTCTTAGGCTAAAATCCAACGATAAAATTGAGCCAACTACTTTAGGCTAAATCCAAATCCTCCAGTCAAATCACAAATATAAAACGCCTGCTGTCTCCAAATAATTCCTGTTTTAGTTATATCTAGAGTCAACAGATGTAGTTGTAGAGAGTTTTTCCTCATGCATAGTCATATAAAGGCACTTTGTTTACACCAGGTGTTGTTTCAAGGTAAAACACTTTTCAAATTCTTTTATCATTTGGTATTGCTGTAGTATCTGCTTTTACCACTAGATGTCCTCATACACTGTATTGTCTATATCCGTTTTTAAAAGATTGTTAAAAAATTTTCTTTTAAAGTTCTTTGGAATTTATTTACGCTAGAAATTTAATCTAAAAGTATTTTCCACGTCCTGTAGGTTAAGCAGTTTTTCTTTAAGTCAATCAAAATTCCATTTTTAAGTATTCTTTTACATTCCTTAAATTCCTTCCCCCTCTTGTAATTGCTCGCCACTTTTACCTCTCTTCTCCAGTCCTTCTGGGGTCTTTACTTCGTAGATTTTTCCCAATCAGGGGATCAGTATTTCTGAGTCCTTAAGGAAAAGGAATAAAAAAGAGGCTCGCCCAGTTTCAGCACGCTGTTGACAATCAGCTGTTTGTTGGAGCACAGCAGCTCCTCGCTTTTTTTTCCGGCTGACGATGACTTGGGCTGCCTGTGCTTCCCAGGCAGCCTTTCTTCCGTCCTTCAGAAAGCTTTCTTCAGTCCGTCTGGACCAACCGCCATCTGGTGCAGACTCCCGAAGCTTCCCTCCTTCTTCATTGCCCCTCTAGGGCAACTTTCTGACCCCTTGGGGGTCACCAGACCAAACAAGATTGGGCTAAGAAGCTGGACCCCCCCCGTTTCTTCCACCCATCTCATTATGGTGTCAGACCGGAAGTTGGGAAGGAGCTTCCTGAGGGACCTCCTCCATCTTCCCAGGGTGGTAAAAGGCAAGCAGAAGTTCAACTGGTCTAGCAACCTACCTAGCTCTCCGCAGTGAACCTTGCAGGAAAGGACAGGAAGTATGGGGACAAGGGAAGGGACCCCCAGGAACTCTCTGGGCTGGAGGAAAGCTTATATCCATACTTCTCTCTCCCTCCTCCTTTGGGAGAGATATGGGGAGGGGTCACAATAAGGGTATCCACACCAATACTCCTGAGGTCTCTCAGTCCTTCAACACCCACCTTTCCTGAGTACCCCAAACTGTTCTATTCCCCCATTTTCAGCCCTACTTGCTCCCTTTTGGCAATTTTTGAGGCCTCTTTCCACCCAGCTTCTCCCCGACTGTGGGGCTGCTGCCTCCCTGCCTCTGGGGATGCCCGGGCGGTGGGGCTGACCTTCCCCTCCCCTCCCCCATGAGGCCCTCCCTCCGGATTAGCCCCTCCCTCTGCTGCTCCTGGGTGAGTTGCCCCTCCCAAATAGGCCCTCTGCAGCCCCCCAAGACCATCTCAAAGGGAGGGGCTCCACCCCCCCCCCCACTAAACGGAGAATTTGGAGGAGCAACTCAGGTGTTGATTGAGCATTTGGGGATTCTGGGTGGGGGTTCCCCTTTCCCAAAGTCTCTCTTGGGGGCTCCCAGCCCCTTCCCACTCCTTCCCCCAAGAAGGAATCCAAGCTCAACTCTTCCCTCACCTTAAAAAAAGAACTTCAGAAGATTCAGAAGAAAAACTGAAGTTGCAAAAGCATCGTTTTCTTATACTTTTGGTGGCATTTCTGGATTCAGGTCTGAAAACGCCTCAGTTTTCCTGTTTCCGCTTTCATTTTCCGACTCCTTTCTCTTTCAGCACAAGAAACGTTTTGAACTCAGGCGCTAATTCGGGGTCTGCAAGGTCCCCCTCCCACCCAGCCACGGGGAGGGGGGCGAGAGAGAGCCCCGGCTGCCTCTTACAGCCACAACCAGGGAAGGGGGGGGCTCCCTCTTCGTCCTGCGGTGGGAAATGAGGCGAGGGAGGGAGCGGAGAACAGGCGGAGATCCAGGCTCCCGCCTATCTTGTCCTCCACCCCTTTCCCCACTACTGGAGTCCCAGCCCTTCTCTCCCCCTCTTCCCTCAGAAGCCCTGGCGGCCCCTCCCAGCCTCTCTCCTCCCTCGACGATCCCCCTCCTTACCGGGGGTCTCTTTCCCCCCTTCGCTTCCGGGGATCCGGGCCAACGCCCCCACCAGCAGCAGCATCAGGGGGAGCCCAGCGGAGCCTATGAATGCCGCCCCACAAGCGCCCCAAAGAGGGGGGAGGAAGACGGAGGTGCTCCCAGTCCCAGAGGCGGAATCGGGGGGAGTCTGGATGGGGGGGGGAGGAGGAAACGTTTTCCTCGAACTTTATAATTGGGAGTGTCCATAAGAGCGGAAGGACCAATGGGATTTCTCCCTTCTTGAGCGTCATCGGTCTCCGGGCAGAGTCTCCTTTGATGTCACCCGATGGAGGAGATTGTTTTGCGCAGAGAAAGAAGCGGAGAAAGTGGGGAGGGGAATCCCTTCAGTCTTGGGGGGGCGCAGCTCAAGAGGGTATTTCACGACAGCCCCGGAGGGGAGGGTGGACCTTCCCTTTGCCCTCCCCCCCGGATCCTGTTGGGGGGGCTACAGTGGATGAAAAAAGGGGAGGAGCAGCCCCACAGCCAGCGAGGATTTGGAGGGGGGTCTCTTAGGCAGCTGACGGGGGAGTCCTTGGGCGCCATCACAGACACACACACACGCACACACACACAAAAACACACACAATCATGCAGGGTCCTGGGAAGCTTCTGCCTTTTGGGCCCTTCCTGGCAAAGGGGCTGCTGGAGGGGAGATTTTGCCCCCAGCGCTGTGGGGTTTTCTGACCCACCGCAAATAGGTCGGTTTTGGTTCAAGAATCGCTCCTTCCTTCCTTCCTTCCTTCCTTCCTTCCTTCCTTCCTTCCTTCCTTCCTTCCTTCCTTCCTTCCTTCCTTCCTTCCTTCCTTCCTTCCGTCCTTCCTCTGATTTTCATATATCCTTTCCTTCCTTCCTCATTCCCATCTCCTTCCTTCCTTCCTTCCTTCCTTCCTTCCTTCCTTCCTTCCTTCCTTCCTTCCTTCCTTCCTTCCTTCCACTTTATTGAACTCCGTGGGAATTGAAGAGGTATAAACTATGACATAAAAAAGAAATAAAATAAAACTGCCCCCCCATAGATGAACTGGACCAGCCCCCGATTCCTGCCTAACCTCCAAACGGCGCTGTTTCTGCCTTTCCGCGGGCCCCTCCCCACCTCGGCCACAACCATCAAAGGGAGGGGTCTCTCTCCGTCCTCCTGGGGGGGGGATGTGGGGAGGGAGGGAGGCTCCCGCAGTCTCTCTTGCCCTCGACCCCTTTCCCAAAGTCACGTCTGGGGTCCCAGCCCCTTTCTTCCCTCCCCCTCCCCACCCCAGGAGAACTGAGAGTCCCTCTGAGCCCTCACCTCCTCCCGCCCAGCCCCTTTCTCTCCCCCTCCCCAAAGGAGCACTGGGGGTCCCTCCCAGCCCTTGCCCCCGCCCGCCCAGCCCCTTCTTCCCCCTTCGCTTCCAGGGATCTCGCCCAGCGTCCTCCCCCCAGCAGCAGCAGGGAGACCCCAGCAGAGCCCAGGGACGCCCCCAGCCCCAGAGGCGGAATCGGAGGGGGGGGGGATCGGGAGGGTGGGCGGGGGAGGCGTTTTCCTCGGACCAGAACTGGAAGTGCCCTGAAGAGGGGGCGGAACCAATGGGAATTCCCCCTTCTGCAACGTCATCGGTCTCCGGGCAGAGTCCTTTGTGACTTCACCCACCGGCAGACAAAGCGAGGACGATCCTGGGCTGCCAGGAGGGACCCCTCCCCTCCATCCCCAGGGAGGCCGCCCTGCTCTCCGCCCTCCCCGGCCCTGGCACCCTTTTTTTGGGGGGGGAGGCGGAGATGGACGGGGGGAGGGAGTTCCTCTGGAGGGCAGGAAGGCGAGGGGATCAGGACCCCAAGGAGGGGGGCGCTGGGTGCGAATGGGGCAGGAGCCTCTCTGGCTTCTGAGGGGCTCAAACGGGCTCCGATCCTGGAGAAAGAGGCCCGGATGAAGCCAGGAGAACCTCCAGCTCCAGCAGCTTCCCAGCCACGGAAGAGGCTCTCTGGGGGAAGCAGGAATAGGGGGTCTCCCAGGGGTCCCCTCCCTCTGGCAGGACCTGGAGAGATTGAGGAGGGGGGTCGTGCCCCTTCCCCTCCCTGGGATCTGCCACCCTCCTCCCGAACGGGTTCTGGCTTCGGATCTAAACTAGCCTGGTTCATCAATACGGGGGCAGGGGAGGCCTCAATCCGGGGAGGGGGAGGGGAGGAGGGAGGGTCCTCTTGCAGAGGTAAGAAAAAGGTGGAAGAGGAAGGGAGGGAGGGAGGGAGGGAGGGAGGAGGAACACCAGGTTTTTCTACAATTTAAATTTTATTCTTTTACAGTGAAGGGAAGGGATTCCGAGGGAGAGTAGTGGAGATGAAGCTGCTGTGAGTTCAAAGCCGGAAGAGATTTGGGCTTCTGGACTGACAGGCAGGCCCAGAGTCCCTGGGGTCAGTTTATAGGGAATGGACCGAAATGGAACGGAACAGACAGAATAGGGAATGGAATGAAATGGAACAGAACAGAACAAAATAAAATATGGAACGGAACAGAACAGAACAGAATAGAATAAAAAATGGAATAGAAAATGGAATGGAACAGAACAGAATAGAAGAGAAGAGAAAATGGAATGGAACGGAACGGAACAGACAGAATGGAATAGAAAATGGAATGGAACGGAACAGAACAGAACATGGAATGGAATGGTTTTGTGGTCTACCTTGTCAAAGGTCTTACTAAAGTCTAAGTCTACCACATCCACAGCATTTCGCTGGTCTGCTACCACTTTATTAAAAAATTCAAACGCTTTAGCCAACACATTGACTATTTTTAGGCTAAAATGCTCCTGATCAAATTAATCATAAAAGGCATGAAGAACAATGAAAGCCCCAATCGCCCTGGTCACAGCCCTTTATTACGTAAGGCTTTTCAGCTCAGAATCCACACAAATCTCCCAGAGACTCTGAATACGAGGCTACGGAAAAGAATAAAGCTTTATGGTTTGATCAAAGAAGAGCCCGATGTCTCAATCTCTTGTCACACGCACAGCGAGACAGAGGAGAAAAGGCACACACATTATCTTTTTTTTTTTTTCACTTTTATAGCTAAGGCACTTTCTCAGGCTAACAGGCTAAAAGATTCCTTTTTTTCGTTTGAATACTTGTTTTCTTTATCTGTCAGGTTAGCTCAGTTACAGCTTGTCACAGGCTACGCTTCGAATACACAACTGCTGGCAAGCAGCCCAGAACTTTCTCTTTGGGCGGATACATTTGCAGCGGAAGAATGATACATTGCAAGCTATAGCCAATACATTTAAAGTGAGAAGAGAGGAGAAGAGAAGAGAAGAGAAGAGAAGAGAAGAGAAGAGAAGAGAAGAGAAGAGAAGAGAAGAGAAGAGAAGAGAAGAGAAGAGACGGAGCTTGTGGTGCCCCACTGCTTACTTCTCTCCATGTGGATGTGGCGCCATTGGGGACTACTCCTTGAGTAGGCTTGTCAGCCACATACAGATCCATCTGGTGGGGATGTTGTTTATCCCACCTTTTCCTAGTTTAGCAAGGAGCAGGTTGTGGTCTACTTTGTCAAAAGCCTTACTGAAATCTAGGCATGCGACGTCCACTGCGTTTCACTGGTCTACTGATTCAGTCCCTTGATCCAAGAATGAGATGAGATTGGCCTGGCATGATCTGTTCTCCACACACCCGTGCTGGCTCCCGGTTATAACTTTGTTTGCTCCTAGTTGTTCACAGATCTGCTTTTTGATTATCTTTTCTAGGATCTTCCCAGATATGGAGGTTAAACTGATTGGTCTGCAGTTTCCTGGGTCTGTTTTTTGTTTTTTTTTTCCCTTTCTTGAAGATGGGAACCACATCAGCCCTTTTCCAATCCTCGGTTCTTCCCCGGTGCTCCAGGATTTGTGGAGGATGGGGTTCTGATATAACGTCTGGTATCGGTTGCCTGAGGAGTTTGGGAGTCTTTTTTTTTGTGTGTGTGTGTGTGTGTGTGTGTGTGTGTGTATCCGCAGTCCCCCCCCACATGGTTCAGACCTGGGGGGGGGGCTTCCTGCCCCCAAACTGAGCCGGGTGAGCCCAGGAGGAGCCCTCAAGCTCTGGCTCCACTTTCCTCTAGGCTCCCTCTGGGAACCGAAAGGGCATCTAGTCCACCCCTACAGACACACAGAGAAAAGGAGGATCTGGTTGAGAATCACGGGGGGGGGTGCGCAAAAGGAAGTCCGCATGAAACGCCCCCCTAAAATGCAGCTCCCCCCCCCGACTGAAGGGATTGTTCCCCCCTCCCACTTTCTCCGCTTCTCTCTCTGCGCCGAACTATCTCCTCTATCGGGCGAAGTCAAGGGAGGCTCTGCCCGGAGATCGATGACGCTGCGGAAGGGAGAAATCCCATTGGTCTCTCCACTTTTCTGGGCCCTCCCAGTTCCGAAGTTCGAGGGAAACGCCTCCTCCCCCCCCCCAATCCAGACCCCCCGATTCCGCCTCTGGGGCTGGGAGCCTCCGCGTCTCCGTCTCTGGTCTCTCTGGGGCGCTTGTGGGGCGGCGTCCATGGGCTCCGCTGGGCTCCTCCTGGTGCTGCTGCTGCTGGCGGGGGCTCTGGCCCGGATCCCCGGAAGCGAAGGGGGGAAGGAGACCCCCGGTAAGGAGGGGGCTCGTCGAGGGAGGAGAGGGGCTGGGAGGGGCCGTCAGAGCCCCTGGGGGTGGGGGGGGGAGAAAGGGGCTGGGATCCCAGAAGTGGGGGGAAAGGGGTCGAGGGCAAGAGAGGCAGTAGGCTGCAGGAGCCTCGATCTCCGCGTGGTCTCCGCCCCTGCCTCGCCTCATTTTCCCCGCAGGATGGAGATGGAGCCCCCTCCCCTCTTCCCTTGTTGTGGCCGAGGTGGGGCGGGGGTCGCGAGAAGGCAGCCCAGGTGGAATAAGAAGCAGCCGGGCTCCTCTCTCGTCCCCCCCCCGTGGCTGGGTGGGAGGGGGACCGTGCGGATCCCGAATTAGCGCCTGAGCCCCAAAGTTTCTTGCACCGAAAGAGGAAGGAGACGGAAAGCGAAAGCGAAAGAGGGAAACTGAGGCATTTTCAGAGCTGAATCCACAAAGGCCAGCAAAGGTATACGAAAAAGGGTTTTTTTTTGGCAAAAGTGTTTTTGCAACCTCAGTTTTTCTTCTGAATCTCCATTTTTTTAAGGGGAGGGAAGAGTTGAGCTGGATTCCTTCTTGGGGGAGACTCTGAATTTGGGGAGGAGACTCAGAACCCCCCACCCTATTGCTGAATCCGGACTTGGAGGGGAGGGGAGAACTGAGGGAGAAGGATATTTGGGGGGGGGTCTGAATTGCTCCCCAAAACTGTCCCTTTAGTGAAGGGGGCTGGAGCCCCTCTCTTTGAGACAGTCTCGGGGGGCTGCAGAGGGGTCTATTTGGACGGGGGAGTGGAAAGAGGCGTCGAAAATCATCCAAAAGCTGCTAGTGGGGCTGAAGATGGGGGCGAGGGGGGAAAAGGGAAGGTGGGGCTTGAAGGGCGGGGATAGCCCAGGAGCATGGGTGTGGGTATCCTGATTGTGAGCCCCCCTTCCCTTCTGCTCCCAAAAGGAAGAGCGAGAGAGAAGCTTGGATATTCCTTTCCTTCCAGCGCAGGGGGGTCTCTTCCTCCCCCCATATTTCCTGCCAATTTGGGGGGCAAAGTGGCCCCATCGGGATCCAACGTTCCCTGCAGACAGTTAGGCCGAGTACTGGACCAGCTGAACTTCTGCCTGCCTTTTTCCACCCTGGGGAAGATGGAGGAGGTCCCTCACCAAGCTCCTCCCCTCCCTCCTTTTCCTCCCCCCTCCCGACCCCCACTAGGAGGGAATCCCGCTGGGACCGACAGTTCCCCATCCCTCCTCCAGGGGGCGCCTTCCGGTAGCCTCTTGCGGCAGGTTTCCCTCCCCTCCTCTGACAAGCCTGTGTCCCTCTTCTAGGAGAGGCTGGGAACCATGGGCCCTGGAGTCCCTCCTGACCCTCCTCCTCCTCCTCCCCGCAGCCCATTTTCTGCACAAGGGGACGTGCGAGTGCCGCTTCCTCTCCTCTCCGGAGCTGGCATGAAACGCCACCCTAAAATGCAGCCCCCCCACCCAGACTGAAGGGATTCCCCCCCCCTCCAACTTTCTCCGCTTCTCTCACTCTCCTCTTGTGGATGACTCAAGGGAGGCTCTGCCCGGAGACCGATGACGATGCAGAAGGGAGAATTCCCATTGGTCCTTCCGCTTTTCCCATTGGGCCCTCCCAATTCCGAAGTTGGAGGAAACCGCCTCCTCCCCCCAAGCCAGACCCCCCGATTCCGCCTCTGGGGCTGGGAGCCTCCGCGTCTCTCTCCCCGCTCTCTGGGGGCGCTGGTGGGGCGGCGTCCATGGGCTCCGTTGGGGTCCCTCTTCTGTTGCTGGTGGGGGCGCTGGCCCGGATCCCCGGAAGCGAAGGGGGGAAGGAGACGCCCGGTAAGGAGGGGGCTCGGAGAGGGGCTGGGAGGGGCCGTCAGTGCTCCTGGGGGGGGAGAAAGGGGCTGGGACCCCTGAAGTAGGGAAAGAGGTCGAAGGCAAGAGAGGCGGGAGACTGCAGGAGCCTCGATCTCCGCGTGGTCTCCCTCCCTCGCCGCATTTTCCCCCGCAGGACGAAGAGGGAGCCCCCGTTCCCTAATTGTGGCCGAGGTGGGCGGGGGTCGTGAGAAGGCAGCCGAGATGGGATAAGAGGCAACTGGACCCCCTCTCCGCCCCCCGCCCCCCCCGTGGCTGGGTGGGAGGGGGACCTTGCGAACCCCAAATTAGCTCCTGAGCCCCGAAGTTTCTTGCACTGAAAGAGGAAGGAGACAGAAAGCGAAAGCGAAAGAGGGAAACTGAGGCATTTTCAGAGCTGAATCCACAAAGGCCAGCAAAGAGTATAAGAAAAAGAGGGTTTTTTTTGGCAAAAGTGTTTTTGCAACCTCAGTTTTTCTTCTGAATCACCATTTTTTTAAGGTGAGGGAAGAGTTGAGCTGGATTCCTTCTTGGGGGAGACTCTGAATTTGGGAAGGAGACTCAGAACCCCCCACCCCATATTCCCCCATTGCTGAATCGCGACCTGGAGGGGAGGGGGAAGGATATTGGGGGGGGTCTGAATTGCTCCCCTAAATTGGCTCCCCAAAACGATTTCTTTGTTGAGGGGGGCTGGAGATGCTCCCTTTGAGGTGATCTTGGGGGGCTTCAGGGTGACAGAAAAGAGGGCTGAATCCTCAAATCACGGAATGTCAGTTAAGTTGGTGGGAAACAAAATTTGGGGGTAACTAGGGGATCTGGGGGTTCCCTTCTCCCCAGGATCCCCAGATCCGCAACCCATCTAGATCAAAATTGAGCAGCCCCCCTCAACAGAAGGGGAGGGAAAGGACCCCCCCATGTCCTGCCCACAACGGGGTCCTTTCAGCAGCTCCAGGAAGGCTCCCCACCCCTTTGGCCCCCCAATTCAGGGGACCCTGAGGGCCCACATAAACCCCTGGGGGTCCTCAAGGCCCCTCAGAGAACCAGGGACTGACTTTCAAACTGACAGCAAGGAATATCCGTCCTTCCACCCTCCACCCTTCGGTCAGAACTGAAGAAGCTTCTGGGATGAGAAGTGAAACGTCTTCAAGGGAAGAGTCCAGCTGCCTTTTGGAGAAGCCCCCTTGGGCTAAACGAGACCAGGGGGAGGGAGGGTCTCAGGAGAGACCCCCCCAAGCTCCCCTCGGCCTTTCCGAAGTCTCTGCTGACCCAGCCTGGACTCCTCATGGGGGGGGGGGTTCTTAAGGGAGCTTAAAGGGGCATCTAGTCCACCCCTCCAGGCACATAGAGAAAGGGGGACTGTGGTTCAGATTCATGGGAGGGGGTGAAAAAGGAAGTCCACAACCCCCCCTGGACACCCCTCTAAAGTTGCAGCACCCAAGACTGAAAATCTTCCCCTCCCTCGTCTTCTCCGCCTCTATTGGGAGGGATATGGGGGGGGGTCTGAGTTGCTTATCCAAACTCCCCCTTTAGTGAAGGGGGCTGGAGCCCCTCCCTCTGAGGTGGTCTTGGGGGGCTGCAGGGGGGAGGGGGACAGAAAAGAGGCCTTGAAAAGCACCCAAAGGCAGCTTGTGGGGCTGAAGATGGGGGGAGGGGGGAAAGGAAAGGTGGGGGTTGAAGGGTGGGGAGAGCCCAGGAGCATGGGTGTGGGTATCCTTATTGTGACCCCCCCCTTCCCTTCTTCTCCCAAAAGGGAGAGGGAGGGAGAAGCTTGGATATTATTTCCAGCCCAGAGGGGGGGTCTCTTCCCTCCCCCCAGATTTCATGCTGCTTTGGGGGGAAATCCAGCGTTCCCTGCAGGCGGACGGAGGCCTGGACCGGCTGAACTTCTGCCTGCCTTTTTCCACCCTGGGTAGATGGAGGGGGGGTCCCTCTTTCCCCCTCCCTCATTTTCCTCCCCCCTCCAGACCCCCAGCAAGGGGGAATCCCGCTGAGACCGACGGTTCCCCATCCCTCTTCCAGGGGGCGCCTTCCGGCAGTCCCTCGAGGCAGGTCTCCCGTCGCTCCGCCTTCCCGTCGCTCCGCCCCTCCTCTAGGAGCCGCTGGGAACCATGGGCCCTGGAGTCCCTCCTGAGGGCTTTCTTCTTTCTGCTCCACCCCCCCCCCGCAGCCCATTTCCTGCTCCAGCGGAAGAGCGAGTGCCATTTCTTCAACGGGACGCGGCAGGTTCGACTCCTGGAGCGGCACTTCTACGACCGGCAGGAGATCGACTACTACGACAGCGACCTCGGGAAATTCGTGGCCGTCACTCCGTTGGCGCAGCCCGATGTGGACCAGTGGAACAGCGATAAGCGCATCCTGCAGTACCTGAAGGCCGCCGTGGATCGCTTTTGCCGATACAACTAGGAGACAGCCAAGACCGGTCAGATGGTTGGCCGGAGAGGTGAGTGGGGGAGGGGGAGTTCCATGGGGGGGGAATGCAGGGACCCCCCCTTTTCCTTTTATTTCTTAGGACTCTCCCGGAGAAAGATTTGCCCCTGATGTGTTCTGTGCCCTCCAATCTATGAAATTTACTCATTGGTATTTATTGGTATTTATTGATACTCCTAAATCGCCCCCCTCCCTCAAAGCAGGGATCTGGATGGCGTAGTAGGATATAACATCACCCCTAAATAAAAGTGTATAAAAAATAAGGTTAAAAATTAAATTACAGTTAAAAAGTTTGAAATTCTACAACGATGACCATGAAACATGCCAAAGGGAAGAAATAGATCCCTCTCCTTCCCATCGGACCCACGATCTTCCTTCTCTTCCCAAGGTGCAAAGTTTCCCCTGCCCAGAAAAACTTCTTTGCAGAATATTATACCAAGTATTATATTTTTCTAAGGGGGGGGGAGGAATCCAGCAAGCTCTCTCTTTTGCCCAGTATATAGATATATTTCAATAGTAATCTACACTATATGCTATATAATATTTCAATATAATATTTTGATTAAATAATATTTATTGATTTACTTATCAACTTTTAAAACCGTCTCTCCCTCTCTCTCTCTCTCTCCCACAGAGGGACTTTACATGGTGTACACATAAAATATAAAGCCACCAAAATAATCTGTAGAATTTAATATTTAAAAGGCAGGAATGATTAAAATCCAGTGATAAAAATTCCATAAAAGGGGGGGGCTTCAGGAGGCTGACCAGCCCCACGGCTGCCTCCTCCTCCCCTGTGACCCCCAAGCAAAGCCCCAGAGCCCCCTTTCCCCCCCTTTCCGGGAGGCCAGGAGTGGGGGAGGGGCTCCCTTCACCTCTGGGGCCTTTGGGATTTTAGGATAAAAAGTGAACTTCCAAAGGTCTGGAAAAGGGAATCAGGGAAGGCTCTTTCGTCTGCTGGGCCCTGTCCATCTTTCAGTTCTTTTTATCCTTTATTCAGATTCAGTTGTTCATCCAATGTTGGGGGTCTGGGAGAAAAGCCCCCCTTGAAGCCCCCTTTTTGGTCAGAGACTCTGCTTCACCTGCAGCCGAATCGCTTCCCTCTTCGTATCTGGGAAGGTTCCCCATTTGGGGGCAAAGATTAACAAAAAAACCACAAACATTAAAACTGAATTTCAGGCATTCGTTCAGCCCTGAAGGCTCAGATTGTTTAGTTCCCTATTCCAGATTCCTGGCAAATTGCCTACATTTGTTGGTCTAGTTTTATTTGTTTATATTAAAAAACCTTATTTATTTCTATCAACTGATAACGTTTCATGGTGCAAAACCAGTGTTTCATCTGCAGTTGTTGCCATTTGTTGTTGCCAGGGTCTCCAAAAATAACACGCTACCAAAGAATTCAATAAGATCTTTCTTCCACGAGAGAAAAAACAAAAGATCCCAAGAGAAAAAGGCATTTTACCAGCTGGGCATCTGCTCCTTCCAGAAATTATGGAATATTTAAGGGGAACCGACACAGATTTTGTTCTCTGTATATTCAGTCGGGAATTCATTTTTACTACTAAATTCTTCCCTGCAAACCTAGGAGGATAATTAACTGTTCATAAAAAAATCCCGACCAGATCCCAGGATTAAATTACAAATAACCAAACCTTTAAAAATTGCAGGTTCTTAAACTTTATATAATGAGCTGTTCATCAGAGAATCCCTAAACGGAGAGAAACGTTGCTAGCAAAAGTTCTCTGATCTGGAGTGGATCTAAGAAGGACCCTCTGGGGGGGGCTCACTCATCCCCCCCCATTAATCCACCCAAGAGTTATGCCATTTGCTGAAGATCAAGAGGGATCCCTTCCAAGGCTCTTCTGTGATCCTGGTATCTGCCTGATCTCCTCAGCCACCAGCTGCCCCCACCTTCCCTTTCCCCAAGATCCCCCCCAGATCCTTTCCCCCCTCCCTGTCCGGAATGGGACAACTCACTGCAGGACAATTCAACAATTTTGTTCAATTATTTAAAATAATTTTTAAAATGTTTTTTTTTTAATTTTTGTCTTTCACATTTCATTTTCCTCCTCCCTCGGCCTCCTTCCTTTCCTGATTCTCTTTCTCCATTTCTTCCATATTGTGTAACTTTTGTGCTGCATTGAGTTGGCTGAGTTGTCCTAGACACCTCCCTCCCCCCCCACCCAGGCAGGAGAGTCGGACCCCTCCCCACCTCCCTCCCCAGGGGAAACGGGGCTGGGAGGGAGGCCTGAAGCTGCAGGGAGAGGGTGGGGGAGGGGGAACCTGGGCAGAAAAAACCAAAGGTTCAAGTACAGATTAGGCGAAATCTGGCTCAAAATCACTGGAGGTAGTTGTTGAATTCAGAGGCAATCCCCCCTCCCCCCTCACACCTCCTGTTCCTCCCCATCTTTTAACTATAATTTTATCTTGACTGGGAATTCCATTTTGATTGTTATAGAAATATTTATCTGTTAGGACTTTAATGTTCTAATGCTGTAAGCCAGGGCTTTTCAACCTTTTCACCGACTGTACCACTTTTAGGATATATGGCAATATTCGAGTACCACCTAGCAAGGTGTCAAACACTTGATGACCAAAAAAAAAACCTGTTCAAAGTTGCAATTGCACTGAAATGACTTATGACCATTTTTCACACTTATGACCATTGCAGCATGCCCAGGGTCGTGTGATTTATATTTGGATGCTTGGCAACGGATTTCATATTTATGATGGTCACAGTGTCCCAGGGTCATGTGATCCCCTTCTGCAACCTTTTGACAAGCAAAGTCAATGGCAGGGCTGCTGGTGGCCAAGTGCTAAGGCGGGACTTTCTTCCTTTCCTGCCTCCCTCCCTCCCTCCTTCCCTGCCTCCCTCTTTCTCATTCCCATCTCCTTCTGAAGGAAGACTTTGGACCCCCCCCCATTTCCCTTCTTCCATAGATTCATTGAACAAGGAAAAGCCTCCAGAGACAGAAAAGACAAGCCATTGAGGGAACTAGCTTAAAAAGGCGCATTCCCCTTTAAGAATCAGCTACTGGCTAGAAAGGAAAGTTAAGGAGCCCATTGTGCACTTAAGGAAGAAAAAAAAATGTAGTAAGTATGGCTGCTGGCTAAGGTAGACTCCCCAAATGGCTCCATTCGTAAGTAAAGGAATGCTACAGGCAAAATCCGTTCAGGAGAAAAATACTTCAAAATCCCTTGCATCAAAACTTACAGCTAACAATAGCAGAGCAATAGAAGCTGAGACATTAGCCATCAGCCAAATAGAAATTGCCAAACACTCCTTAAGAACACAAAGCCCCCATTGCACAAATGCCAGAACTTCAAAGTCACAAAAGCACAAAAGAATCCTTCCACTCTCCATCTCCCTCCTTGCCTCACCTCCAGCCAGTGCTGCCTTTCTTCATTGCTGCCTTTCTTCATTCCTCATGGAGAGCACCCCTCCTCCCTACATCCCTTGCCTCTTGGTTGCTGCCAGCACAGGTGGCTGCCAAAGAAGTTGTAGATCCACTTGTGACAGGCCTGCTTGATCTCCTGTCGTCTCATCCCACCCTCCTCCTTCTTTCCATTCTATGCAGCGAGAGCTGACTCCTCCTCCTCCCAAGGCTGCTTTTTTTTCTCTCTCTCCTTCTCCCGGCCAAAACTGCCTTCTTTTATAGCCTCTCCTGTCTCCATGCCCTCCTCCTCCTTTCTCATGGGGGAGGGGGTGAGCCAGAAGTGAGCCTGGGGCCTTTGCCTCGCCCCAGCCACTCTGCAGCTCCAGAGGACTCTCTCACAGTAAGTCCTTGCCTGCGCTGGCTCGTTCCCTTTCCCACTACACTTGGCTGGGCAGGGCAGCATACCATCTGCCATATGCTCATGTACCACAGGTGGTACACATACCACCAGTTGAAAAGCCCTGCTCTAAGCTGCCTAGAGTCATTTTATCAGGAGATGGTGGCAAACAAATTTAATAAATAAATAAATGTTCCGGTATTCTACCTATTTTTTAAAAAATGTGGTTTTCTTTTGAATGGGATCCCTGCAATTCTCCAAAACATGCTGTGTGTCTTCCCCGTCTTCTGGGTCTCTTTCTGTCTCCCTTCCTTCTGTTCCGGGGCATTTCCAGTATTTATTTCTGTTGGACTTGTGCAATTTCATGATGGAAACTGATCCCAACCAGGAACGATTTATGTTTTTCCATCTTTCAGGATCCCATTTAATTTCTTGCTGCAATTTGCTTTGGAAATAAAACAAATACTATTTTCAGGACTGAAAAGGGCTCTTGGCCTGAACTAACCCACTTGGTCTCCTGTTCTGGCCCCTCCTATGTCTCCCTTGTCCCTCCCCCCCTTCCTCTCCTCCAGCCAAGCCCACTGTTTCCATCTCCCCCACCAAGCTGGATCCCACTTCCCCTAACACCATCCTCCTCTGCATCGCGAGAGGCTTCTACCCCGTGGAGATCGAGGTCCAGTGGCTGAAGAATGGGCGGCTGGAGGAGGAGGGAGTGGCCTTTGGGGAGGAGCTCCAGAATGGAGACTGGACCTACCAGCTCCAGGTGATGCTGGAGACCCAGCCCCAGCGGGGAGACGTCTACACATGCCAGGTGGGGCACGCCAGCCTGGAGGCCCCCATCACCGTCCAGTGGGGTGAGCCCCTCCCCCTCTGGGGACCTCCTCCTGCCCTGAGAAGGGGGAGCTGGGATGGACCCTCTTGGGTGGGGGAAGATGGCCCTGATCCTCTTGCTCAGTGAGGCTCCTTCGCCTTCCTCAGAGCCCCGATCCTCCAACTCAGCCAGGAGCAAACTCTGGACGGGGATCGTGGCAGCCGTGATCGGGGTGATCTTCTTTGCCATGGGGCTCTCCCTCTACCTGAAGAGCAAGAAAGGTGAGTCTGGGGGCTGGATGAGAGATTGTGGGGAGGGGACCATCCAGGGGAGGCCTCTCAGCAAGCTTAGCATATGGCAAGGAGGCCCCCTTGGAGATTTGCTTGGGAAATTCTGTTCTCTGAGAGTCTACTGTATAAGTGAGCATCCTGCAACCTATTATGGGCTATTGATGGGGAGGGAGACACCCTGAGTGCTCCAGCCTATGAAGGGTCCTGATTGGATCTTTTTCTCCTTTCAGCAATTCCCATCCAGCCTCCTGCAGGTGAGTTTCTCCCCAAGTTATAGATGTTTCTTTAACATTCCTTAATTGTTCCTTTAAAAAAAAAAAAAAATGTGCCTGAACAAAACGTCCTAGCTATGGATAGCACAAATTTTTGAAATTTTGGGCAGCTTTTCATTACAGAGACCTGAAAACAGTGCAATCAAAAACAAACACACACACATAAACACTAAAATCTGGCCCAGGAGATTTCCAGGTTTTGGGAAATTGCAAAGGAGAAAGGAAGTCTCCTTGTGACATTTCACACAATTTCTGGCAAAGCCACACCCAGCTTTGCTACCACTCCCATCCTGGCCCCATCTTCTTTGTTAATATGAAACGTCTGCGGGGGGGGGGGCTCCTTTTTTGATTAATCCCCCAGTTAAGTCAATTGGGGTAAATTCCATAAGCCTCTGGAGATGAATTTCTGGTCCTTTGCATCCTTTTTCACACTGAAAAAGGGGGGGACACTCCCTCACTTTGTTCCTACCCATTAACCACCCCCCTGCAATGTGGGCCTGTGTGAGGGGGGTGGCTGAAAGAGAGGAATAATAAGCTATTTACACTGGCTTCACTTTATTTTCTAACTTTCTCCCCATCTCTTTTTTTCTACAGCACTCATGAATTAATCCTGCCATCCTTCCTGCTTCCTTGTGGGAAAGGAAGGGGCTTTTTTCCATTAGCTGATGAATTTCTGTCTCTCTTTTGCAACCTCTGAAAAATGGAGGGTCAAGATTTTAGATTGGGGGGAGGAGGAGAATGGCAGCCTGGAGCTTTTCCTGCTGAGACCCCACTGGCTTTCCTTTGAAGGCCTCTTTCTTGTGAGGGAGCGGTGGAGACCATCTAGACTGACCCCAGGGACTCTGGACCTGCCTGTCAGTCCAGACACCCAAATCTCTCCTGGCTTTAAATCCACAGCAGCTTCATCTTCATTACTCTTCATCCGAATCCCTTCCCTTCGCTTTGCTGTAAAAGAATAAACATTGTAGGAAAAATCCTGGAATTCCTTCTTCCTTCCTCTTCCTCCTCCTCTTTCCTCTCTCCCCCCCAGGAGGGTCCTCCCTTCTTCTCTTCCCCTCCCCAGATTGACACCTCCCCTGCCTCTGGATCAACCATCCCGGCTACTTCAGGTCCGAAGTCAAAACTGGTTTGGGAGGAGGGTGGGAAGATCCAGGGAGGGGAAGGGACAGGACTCCCCTCCTGCTCATAGGCCCCCTTGCTCTGCTTTCCCTCAAGCCTACCTTTGAGGACCAGAAGGTCAGCAGTCCTCCCCAAGCACACGTGGGGAGCCATTTGGGAGCACCTGAGGCTTCACAACTGGAGGGTCCTGTCCCATTTTGGCACCCAATGCCTTCCTTGTCCTCCCTCTTTGGGACTCATTCTAATGGCATAGGGCAGGGGTAGGCAACCTTGGCTCTTTTATGACTCATGGACCTCAACTCCCAGAATTCCTGAGCCAGCCACGCTGAGAGAAAAGGGAGATGTTTCCAAGCTGAGCCATGCTGGCTCAGGAATTCTGGGAGTTGAACTCCACCAGTCATAAAAGAGTCAAGGTTGTCTACCCCTGGCCTAGGTTTATACTATAGGCCACCCAACCAAACAGAGGAAATAGATGAACTTTTTAGTAGCTAAGGCATGGAGAAAGCACAGTAAAATAGTCATGGGGGACTTTGACCACCCTGACATCAACTGGAACACATTTTTTGGCGCCTAGTGGGAGATCAAACAAGCTCCTGATGAACCTAACAGTCAACTTTGACTCCCATAAAGTAGAGAAGGGAACTAGGGGGTCAGCCCCACTGGACTACAATCTCCCTAAGAGTCCTAGGCTGCCTTAACAGAGGGACAGAATCAAGATCACCTGAAGTTTTAATAGCACTTTACAAGGCCTTAATAAGGCCACACTTGGGACACTGCATCCAATTTTGGTCACCACGATGTAAAAAGATTGTTGAGACTCTAGAACAGTGATTCTCAACCTTTCTAATGCCGTGACCCCATAATACAGTTCCCCATGTTGTGGTGACCCCCAAGTGGGTGTGGCCACCAATAAGAGGGAGTAGGACAGCTAGGGAAAAGGGAAAAAAATGGCGGACAGCATGGTTTGGTGACCCCCGTGAAATGGTCATTCGACCCCAAATGGGGTCCCGACCCACAGGTTGAGAACCACTGCTCTAGAAAGAGTGCAGAGAAGAGCAACAAAGATGATTAGGGAGGGGCAGAGGCTGAAACATAAGGAAAGGTTGAGAAATTGGGTTTGTCTAGTCTCGAGAAAAGAAGGACTAGGGGTGATGTGATAGCTGATCGAAGTTGTTTGAGGGGCTGCCCCAAAGAAGAGGGGGCCAAGCTATTCTCCAAAGCCCCTGAAGGCAGGACGAGGAGCAACGGATGGAAATTTATTAAGGAGAGATCTGGATTGAAGGAGCAATTTCCTATCAGTGAGAACAATTAATCAGTGGAACTTCTTGCCTCAGGAAGTTGTGATGGCTTCATCCCTGGAGGCTTTTAAGAAGAGACTGGACAGCCATTTGTCTGAAATGGTGTAGAGTCTCCTCTGTGGGCAGGGGGCTGGACTAGAGGACCCCCAAGGTCCCTTCCAACTGTATTATTCTATTATTCTGTTACATTTTTGCACAGCAGATTCTGGATGTTTCCCATTTAGGGCGTCTCCCCTGGGCACTGAAATCAAATGTGGAGAAAGGCCAGGAGACTCCCGACCACTTTAATTCAAAGCCTTCGGGCCAAATCCTTCCTTAGAGACTGATCCATTTGCTCCTTTCCCCCCCCCGCTCCTTTTACTGCCTAGGAACAATTGTCTCCTTCTGTTTCACATAAGACCCCCCTAACTCTGCCTTACATTGTTTTTTTTTTTAATCCAGCGTTCTTGCCATTGTTTGCACTGGTTTGAAAGTATGTGTCAGAATCCAATCATATTTCATCTTTAATTATCAAATATAGAAACTCCCAATTCTGCCTTCTCTGGATTCTGCCATCAGAGGGAGAGAAGGGGGAGAACAAAGGGGCTTTATGGCCCTCACTTCCTTCAGTACACTTCAAAGAGCTGAATGCTGAATGTGTGTTTATTGTAACATCAAAGCGTTAGCACTAGAGGACCTTATCATAACAAAGCAGGGTATTTGCCTTTCATGTAGTTACCTGAAGTCTCCATCCAGACGGAAGAAAGAAGAAAGGGGGTGGAATTGTGATACTTGAAACTATCACTGGAAGGGGGGTTGATTGGGTGGGACTACTGGGGAACCCCTTAAAACCTTGAATGGGAGAGCTTGAACCCCAAGTCCTGTCTAGCATGCCTGCAACCATTTTCTCTTAATAAAGGATTCCTGTTGGAAGAATTATTCCAAGAGTTCTGTCTTCTTAAGATGCAAAGTGGGGTGGGTCCTTACATTAGACAGGACTTGCAAAATTAATCCACCTGGAAGGGAGACCCTTGCCGGGGGATTTTGCAAAAATTTACCATGTCAGACAATGGAGCAAGAGAGGGGGAAAACTCCCTGGAAAGAGAGCCGCTGACCCAGTTGGAACCTTGCCAGATGTTGGGATCCGAGAGGCCAGATTCCTCAGGAGAAGAAGTGGTGGAGACACAGGACCACAAGCCTCGCTGGTCCATGGGCGTTGGAAAGAAAAGTGAGTGGGGAAAGGAATCAAGAAAGGTGACCCTGAGACGGGGGACCAAGCAACCAGAATGGAAGCAGGAGATGGAGAAATCCCTGCACGCAAGTGAAGAGGGAGGAAGCTGGGCACCGTACTCAGACTGGATCCTAGAGAAAGCTATTGACCTGATGAAAGAGAACTCTCAGCTCCCTAGGAGAGGAGAATACTGAGCCCTACGGCCGCCCCAGTTCCTGGAGCCGCAAAGGGAGAGACACCGAGGGGGACATGGAACCTGCAACCCCAGGGACATCTACTGATCCAGGAGCCCCCACCCCCTACCGGACCACAGATGGCAATCTGGACGGAAGGCACTACCACCCACAACAGAGGCACCGATCCATTCCAAGACGTCCACCGTTGGAAGTGAAATTCAAAGGGGAGCCAACACGCTTGGGGTTTTTCCTAACCCAAGTCCTCAGCTACATGGAGGAATATGGGCAGGATATTCCCAGCGACAAAGCCCGCATCCGGATCGTGCAATCTGCCCTGGATGGACCAGCTGCGGATTGGGTAGTGAACTTGCATGACTCCAATGCCCCAGAACTCAGTAACTTCAACCGTTTCATGTCCTCTTTGAGAAGACGATTTGAAGACCCCCTGGCTGATCGCAAAGCCTGTGAAAGAATAACAACGATGAGGCAGGGCAAACGCCCAGTGGCTGAGTATACACAAGAATTCCCGGCCATTGCCAGCAAACTGAATTGGCCAGAAGACATCCTCCTTGGCCATTTCAAAGACGGACTAAACTATGATCTATATGATGCTTGCCTGCCCCGAGGGGACCCACATCGACTTGAGGAATGGTACGTCTTGGCAGAGGAAGCAGAGATCGACATATTGAAGAGGCACCGCCGAGGAAAACAATGGAGCCGCCCCCCGCCTAAGCTGACACACCAACCGGTGAAATCATCGGATACAGCCAAGAAGCAAATGGGGTGTTTCAAGTGCGGAAGAGAAGGGCATCGAGCTGTAGAATGCCGCTCAAAGGCCCCCCAGCACAACCCAGACAGATCCCCAAATCAACAAACCCGGAAAGTATTCAGCCAAGCCAAAAGAAACGGCCATGAGAATGATGGAAATTGCAGAAACCCCCACCTCTGCTCACCAAGGGGAAAGGACTCCAGCCTACACCACAGGGCCGGTGGATGCCTCAGATGACAGCTCGGAGGGTGAACCCCTGGTCAGTGGATGCATCACACCCATCTTCAAAACAGTGACTATATTAATCCCCCCCATGCCCGAAGCTGTGAAGGTGAAAGCCTTAATAGACTCTGGCTGCACCCGCTGCCTCATTAGCCCAACACTAGTGGGGAATCTGGGCATCCCATCCAGGAGACTGGAACAACCAATCTCATTTGGCCAGCTAGATGGATCCATAGCAGGGGGGGTGCCAGCTACCCTAGCCACTTTGCCAATACATCTCTCCCTGGGCAACCATGAAGAGGATTTAACGTTTGTGGTGACCCCAGGTATGGAATGCCCAATGATTCTAGGGATGGAATGGTTGAAAAAATGGAACCCCTGGGTAAATTGGAGGACGACAGAAATCAAATTCCCGAAGGGGGACCCTATGGACTTAAAACCCCAAGGGAGGCTACCAGAATCAAGAATAGAAAAAGCATCCATAGGAGAGGAAAAAAGATTAACAGAAATACCAGAGGAATATAGGGACCTTGCTGAAGTCTTCAGTGAGGAGAGGGCGAATGAGCTTCCCCCCCACCGACCCACAGACTGTACCATTGAATTCAAGCCTGGGGCAAAACTCCCGAAGCCCAGATTATACTCCATGAGCCCAAAGGAGAAGGAGGAAATGGAAAGATTTATAAAAAAAAACCTGGAGAGAGGTTTCATTGAGCCAGCCAAGCCTAAAGTGGCTGCCCCGGTCCTTTTTAGAGAGAAGAAGGATGGCTCTTTACGTTTATGCGTGGATTATAGGTCCCTGAATACAATCAGTGAAAGCAACCTATACCCGCTGCCCCTCATGAAAGACATGCTGTCACACCTATCGAAAGGGAAAGTTTTTTCTAAACTAGACTTAAGGGAAGCTTACTATCGAGTGAGAATCAAGGAAGGGGACGAATGGAAGACTGCATTTAACTGCCCCATGGGGTGCTATCAATTCAAAGTCTTGCCATTTGGATTACAAGGGGGCCCTGCAGTCTTTATGCAATTAATCAATGACGTTCTAAGGGAGCACCTGTTTAAGGGGGTCCTTGTTTACTTGGACGACATTCTTATCTTTACTGAAACAAAAGAAGAACACGTCAAACTTGTCAGAGCGGTTTTAAAGAAGCTGCGAGCCGCTCACCTATATGCCAAACTC